TCCACCTGATGGAAAGTGGTAACCGTCGCCTATAGACATGAGCAGTACATAACAGAATAGGTATACTGTTTCGCCCTTGATACCCCCCATGCGTTGCCATTCCTGAGGACTCAGATGTTATTCCTCCGTACCCAGTAAATTCACGCCATATCGCCACCCTTCAAACCGAAACACAGCCATGCGAACACAACTGCTTCACGGTAGAAACACGAATGAGACAGAGGTACCCAAGCAATCGACTTTTGTACAAAGTCTCCCTCTGGTATATACATATATTACCTACCTATCACCTTTGTAAAGTCTGTCTCACCTTTTATACAATAGTTGGAATTAATTTTAATTAAATGTCATTAGCATAAATGAGTACGTTGTCACAAATCATTTGCCTGCGTCACGTTGTTTTTCATACATAAACTGGGTATTAGCATATTTTCAAATTTGAATAAGTACCACACGATACCTACTTGCGTCAATTCAACTTTAAATTAGAAAAATAGCCGTGTACATTTCCCCTAGACAGGGGACATTTCCCCCGGGGCTTAACAGCCCCAATGCTAGCAATGTTACTAATCAGGTCGACCTCCACGTGGTTCCCCCTGGAAACCATCTTGGTTAATTCTTATAGAATTCCTCACGATAGGCTAACTGGCCTGCTTTCATTCTCGCCTATCATTCCTCACTGGTGCCCCGCCAGCGTATACCGATAGCGCAGGCGGGGTTACCATTCCATTATCACGCATTAAAAAACAAGTTGACATGTTACTGGCAAACAAAATCCATCATGCTGTAATGTTTACATAAACTAAGTTGTCTAAGTAGCATAAAAAAAAAGCTAGCGCAGGTGGAGCTATTATTTCATTATCACGCATTAAAAAAAGTGAACATGTTACTGGCAAACTAAATCCATTATGCTGTAATGTTTGCAGAAACTAAGTTGTCTAAGTTGCACAAAAAACATCTAGCGCAGGCGGAGCTATTATTCCATTATCACGCATTAAAAAAAAGTTAACATGTTACTGGCAAACTAAATCCATTATGCTGTAATGTTTACGTAAACTAAGTTGTCTAAGTTGCATAAGAAAACTAGTTAGACCCTATCAATTAAAAAAAACTTATCAAAATCAATTCAGAATTCGCGAGTTTGTCTGAACCAGTGAAAATTAATTGGAAATTCTTTCTTGCGTATTTTTTATTTGCAAGGCATTTTAAATTGCATAAATAAGGTTTAAAGGTGATCGACTTCATAAGGTAGACTTATATAGCAATAAATTGCCTTCCGAATCAGGCACGAATGTCGTACAAAAAGGACGTCTGGTTAAAAAGGAGTTTTTATATTAATTAGCGCAGGAATGTATACGAGTAGTGCATACTATGATTGCATGATATTTATTTATATATTTACATTATTAAAAAAAATATTAAAAAGACTTTATACAAAAGTCGTAGTACTTGGGTACCTCTGTCCCATTCGTGTTTCAACCGTAAAGCAGTTGTTTTTGCATGGCTGTGTTTCGGTTAGAAGAGTGAGATATGGCGTGAATTTACTGGGTACAGAGGAATGGGCGAAACAGGAAACTGTTATATATTATTGTGTGTGTGTGTGTAATGTATATATATATATATATATATATATATATATATATATATACAAGAATTCAAATAACATACAAAGTAAAAATACATACAAAGTCTCCCTCTGGTACATATAAAAATATAATCTAAATTTAAAAATAATTTGTTACTTGACTTAGAAGTCACGCCACTACTGGGGCTTAGTAAGTCGTGCCTACTTAACTATGTTTAAATAAAAATTATATTAAGCCTGCAATAAAAAATGTCCCGATTAAGATGTAGTATTTTAATTTTTTTGCTAACAATACACCCAACCCGGTCGACCTCCAGGCGGTTCCCCCTGGAAGCTATCATGCTGAATTCCAAGTGTATTCATCATGGTAGGCTAACTGACCTGCCTTTTCATCCTCACCTATTACCACTCACAGGTAGCCCGCCAGTGTACACCGATAGCGCAGACGGGTCCTTTCCATCATCACCCATTAAAAAAAAGATTTCATTCATAATTTTTTTTTATACAACTTAGAATGGCAAACAAGCTGACAGCCCACCTGATGGAAAGTGGTAACCGTTGCCTATAGACATGAGCAGTACCATGGACATAACAAAGTATACGAGTACTGTTTCGCCCATGATACCCCCCATGCATTGCCATTCCTGAGGACTCAGGTGTTATTCCTCTGTACCCAGTAAATTCACGCCATATCCCACCCTTCAAACCGAAACACAGCCATGCAAACACAACTACTTCGCGGTTGAAACACGAATGGGACAGAATCAGTATGTGAATTATCCTATGTGCTAAGTTAGCATATACCCTAACCGTGCACCAAATTTAATTCAAATCCATTCAATAGTTTTTGCATGAAACATCCATTCGTCCATCGTTACGAACTTTCGCATTTATAATATTAATAGAATCAATTGATTGTTTTTAATATGCATAATATTCTTCCATATAAAAATAAACCAGCACATGCGAGGTGGGAAATCAATTATAAATTATAATGAAATAAACTTTATTACTGTTAAAAGTGTCTAATGTAGATGTTAGGTTATACAACACTGGACGGCTATATATGTATAGTGTAAACACATATTACGTCACTAAAGATGTCACTCACGTACAGTCATGTCTAATAACACTACTGTTTCTTTCTTGTATGCGATTATTAAAGCGCATATAGATTTTTTTTTTATTTTGAGAACAATGGAGCAACGCTAGATTCAGCGTCGCTATTGTATTTAATGGGTGATAATGGAATGGCAACCCCACCCGCGCTATCGGTGTACACTGGCGGGGCACCAGTGAAGGATGATAGGTGAGGATGAAGCAGATCAGTCGGCCCATCGTGACGAATGCAACAAGAATTGTTCACGATGGTTTCAAGGGAGAACCACGTGGAGGTCGACCTAATAGGGCATAGTGCTAGCAATGAGGCTGTCAAACTCCATTGCTAACAATCCCTTTCCTCCCTCAGTGTCGATATTAGAAAAATATATAAACTATAATATTTTTTTTTATAAACCATAAATGTTTTAACTACTGCCATAGACAAAAAAAACTTAGACTAAGAAAAAGATACGTTTTGAGTTGTCTTCTATCTCTTTATATTCCATGTGTCTTTATGAACACAATAGACAGAGACAGAAGACTACTAATTTTTATGGGCATTTTCACTAGGAAGTTGTTTAAATACAAAAATAAAAACTTTATGATTACATATACATTTCACTTCATTCTTATTTTACTTACTGTAGTTTTTTTTTTTTTTTCTACTAGCTCCACTAGTAAAATTCTAATGCTTGTTATTATTAGATACCTACTCGTAGGGAAGAGTATGTTTAGTTAAAAATTGATGTCACCTATTTAAATAAACTTTTGTTGTTTTCATTTTTTTAACATTACAAATCTATTAATTATGTATTTATAGAATTACAGGCAAAATAACAAAGATGATATAAAAAAAACTCTGAATATAAATAATTGTTGCTGATTGTACCAAATGTGACAGCCATGTCACATAACATTATGCAAAATGTTCACTAACGGTCTGAAGTATGTTTCCTTTGCTTCACAAAAACTAAAAAAAGCTATTTTCATTGATTTTAATAGGTCCATTTATAAAGTGTCCACGTTCTAAATTTACTAAACTGTCTAATCTGTAAATGTTCTAGATTGTGCCCCATGTTTTATTGTTTAGTTTTTTAAAACAGTCTGCGGTCTCGACACTGCACTTGTACAGTTATGTAAAAAAAATACTGTGCATTAACAATTTATTGGTTTATATCATTGTTTTTGTAATCGGCTGAGATATTTCGATAGTCACTACTTATTCTATAGACATGAGTAGTAACTATCGAAATATCTCATTGTCACTAAAAAAAAAGAGTGAAATACTTGTTTACACATAGCGATTTCCAAAATAGGTACAGCGGAAACTTATCAGAATTCCGCGAATTGATCTTAATTTACAATTTACAAATAATCCGGCCCGGCTTCGCACGGGTAGACAGAATTTTCCAAAATAGTATATTTCAATAACATTAAATTTTTAAATTTAATTAGCGAATAACACAGGCTAATAACACAGGCTATATTAGCCTGTGTTATTCGCTAATAATGGAGTTTTCTATAGGTAATTTTTTTATAACCGATTGAGTTTCTGAGTGTATCCATTTAAAGTACACCAATACAATAAAATCCTTCCTCTTTTTAACATTAAATCAGAGTATCCAAGTGTCTGATTGTCCAATTTTCACATTCTGATGTCCGAGGGTCAAGAATCTGAATGTTCAGTGTAGGCGTGTCTGATGTCTTTTGTTGTCATGCACGACCATGATACTTAAAAGCATCTCCATACAACTGCATACATTTTGCTGTTCTAATGTATCGTGACAAAAAAATACTGTGTAAAAATAGTCCAACCACGAGCAAAATATACTTACATACAAACAAAAGTCTTGTACAAATGTCGATTGCTTGAGTACCCTGTCTGTCCCATTCGTGTTTCTACCGTGAAACAGCTGTGTTTGCATGGCTGTGTTTCGGTTTGAAGGGTGGGATATGGCGTGAATTTACAGGGTACAGAGGAATAACACCTGAGTCCTCAGGAATGGCAACGCATGGGGGTATCGTGGGCGAAACAGTATACTCTGTTATGTCTATGATACTGCTCATGTCTATAGGCGACGGTTACCACTTTCTATCAGGTGGGCCGTTAGCTTATTTGCCATTCTAAGTTTTATATATATATATATATATATATATATATATATATATGTTGTATATATAAGTCCCATCCATGTTATATTTCTACACTTTATTGTGTGTCTAATAGCACGTTTTTGCATGATTTTTAAACATGAGAATTTCTCAAAGTAAATAATGTCTGAGAGTTTACTTTAGCATGTATTTTTGTTTACAGATTTGCCGCAATCTCACAATGACCCATCAAGCGCTTCCAACACCCATCCGAGCGACGCGAGCGGCGCTCATGCCCAACTCAAGCGGCTGGTGGCCAGAGTTATAGAAGAAGCTGCAGCGCTGCCAGCGCTCGCTCGATACGCAGCTGAACCGCTGCGTTCACCGTCTATAGAGTCGTCGACGTATGAAGATCTATTAGCTACGGCTATATTAAATAAGGTAAGGACAAATTTAATTCTATATATATATATATATATATATATATATATATATATATAAATCATAAAAAAATTAAACCTATGATAGCTAACTGCAGCTATGGGCTAACCGACCTGTCTTTACATTCTCACCTATCATCCCTCACTGGTGCCGCGCCTGCGTATACCGATAGCGCAAACGGGGTTACCATTCCATTATCATCCATTAAAAAAAAGCCTAACTTCATTTGTCTATAGAGTGGCCATTGTTTCTGCCTACCCTAATGGAAGACAGGCGTGACAGATATGTATGTATGTATGAGTGTCGTAATTGATATTATTTCGATTTCAATCCTTAATCTATGACACACTTGGTTTTTTTGTTAACTATGGCGTGAATTTACTAGGTACAGAGGAATAACACCTGAGTCCTCAGGAATGGCAACGCATGGGAAGTATCATGGGTGAAACAGTATACTCTGTTATGTCCATGGTACTGCTCATGTCTATAGGCGACGGTTACCACTTTTCATCAGGTGGGCCGTCAGCTTGTTTGCCATTCTAAGTAGTATAAAAAAAAAACTAGAACTATGTAAGCAGGTTTGCATGATACCTACGTATTTTTAAATAATAACTACTAGGTATTCAGGTAAAACGACGCGATTAACTCGTGGTATAATCATTGTATTATTATTATGCAAAGTGCACAACGAATCTTGTATCAGTTTGTAAGATATCTTCCGTGCAGTAAATAGCCCCTCCGTCATGAAACGATGAGAGCACAACTTATAAAACAATTGTTTCTAATTTCACCTTAAGCTCGAAGGCCGCATAATTAATATTAACTATACATAATTGTGTGGTCCGTCCGTTATTCTGTAATTATGTAAATTTACAATGCTTGTTTGCGTTATTTTGTATTTGACACAATTTTGAAAACTCGACGGGTTAAGATGAAATGCGTAGATAGATCTTGCTCTGAATTGCGCATGATTCTAATACCATAATACTTTTCCTATGCTAAAAAGATGAATTTTAAGGTGATTTTGTATGTTATTGCTTACCGTCCGTATCGAGACTTCGTTGGTACTACGCAAATTTTCATGGAAAAACATAGAAATAAGCGTATTTTATTTTATTTTAAATGGATGGTAATGGAATGGTAACCACACCCGCGCCAATGTATACCAATAGGTATACATTGGCGGGGTACCAGTGAAGGATGATAGGTGTGGATGAAGCAGGTCAGTTAGCCCATCGTGACGAATTCAACAAGAATTGTTCACGATAGTCTGGGGGGAACCACGTGAAGGTCGACCTGATAGGGTTATTGATAGCAATAGGGACTAACGTCCCCATTACTAACAATCCCTTCCCCTCGCTGTGTTTCAGTTTGATGGAATATGGCAATTAAATTACAAAGTAATGAGACATAACACCCTATTTTTCAAGAATGGCAACACAAAGTGTAACAAATATACTCTGTAACGTGCATGGTACTCATGTCTATAGGCGACTGTTACCGCCTTCCATCAATTAGGGTGTCAACTTGTTTGCCATTCTAAATTACAGAAAAAAAAATCACTTCAATTTTGCGTGTTAGATATGTATTTCATGAACGAAAAAGACATGGTTTTTAAACCAAGCCAATCAAAAAACCCAGTTTTTATAACCCCAAGGTTAGATAGAGGTGAGAATTAAATTTGAGATGATATATCAACCGGATAAAGTATATAGCCTATCTACTGCATTTCATCGAGTACCATGTTTGCCAAATTTGCCATAGAATATACTGTGACGCCCATAACACTCCTTATGGACTGCTAATCTTGAGGACTGTTGTTTTATGTAATCACAACGAAGGGAATCCTTATAAAGTCACCTGTCAACGCTCATACTAATTTAGGGTTGTCACCACTAAAAACTTTTATTGGAGAACTATATACTTTTAATTTTAATTAATTAATTTTTTGCTAGCGACCCGCCCCGGCTTCGCACGAGTGCAATGCTAAACCCACAATTATCCCTAAGAGATAGACATATACCATCGCGGACTTTATTGTAGAACTTCTCAAGATGTATAATACTGTAGTACAGGGGGGAAAGGGATTGTTAGTAATGGAGACTGAGAATCCCATTGCTAGCAATATACCCAACAAGGTCGACCTCCTCGCGGTTCCCCCTGGAAACTATCATGGTTAATTCCTGATTAATTCATCATGATGGGCTAACTGGCCTGTTTTCATTCTCATCTATCACCCTTCACTGGTGCTCCGCTAGCGTATCCCGTTAGCGCAGGCGGGGTTACCATACCATTTTCACCCATAAAAAAAAATACTGTAATACATTATTTTGACCTATCTCGTAGGGTTCAGCCAGCGTTTGCAATGTAAGAGCAAAAAAAATTGTTTATTTAAGACATCACATTAGAAACCTCTAAAATTATCAGTGTTTCTCTACTCTATTGTGCATGTATTATACTCATAAATCTTCCTCACGAATCAGTCTATCTATTAAAAAAATCATAATTCATATCGTATCAAAATTCATTGCGTAGTTTTAAAGATCTAAGCGTACATAAGACCAGACAGCGGGAATCGACTTTGTTTTATACTATGTAGTGATATATTTATTTACTCTATATTATTTTACTTAAAGAACAAAACAAAAAGTACAAAAGTCAGTCTTTTTGCTAAAGCAATCTCTTCCAGGCAACCTTTGAGTAGAAGAGTAAAGAAAAATCTAATTATCTCCTTTAATAATAATAATAATACTTTATTATCCAGACTACAATGCGGTCCAATTTTGTTAGTAACAATTTTCTTACAAACTATGTTAGTAAAAAAAAAGAACAACAAATTGATTTAATTAAGCAGTTCACCCAGATGTGACCCAGCCGACTAGATCAGCATCTGAATGAAATGCCCAATTATAGGCGAGTTATATTTCTCGCCTATAACTTTTAGAATACTGTTGGTGCTTGTCCTAACCATAATTTTACCTCATCTCTTACGATTTTATTATATGTGTGTAGACAAAAATATACAAAATAAACTAAAAATCTATGACTAGATTAGACGCCATGTAATTCCGTTAGGTATGTAGATAAATACAGATATACTTGCTTATCTATAAGTACCTACATATTGTACGTAATTACACCAGCAATGTTTTAATTTGATAATATTTTATTTGTACAAAAATATTTATCCACAATTATTCTATAAGGTGGATATGTTACAAGTACTATGACCTGTGTCGTTAACATTACATTTTTCATCAATACAAGTCCAAACGCTCCAATAATTTTATCTATTCAAATATCAATCTGTAAAAATAATATGACAATATCAATTTTGTAATTAATCCACGAATATTAATGTCGTGTGATTGTAAATTTAACGTAGTTATTAACCTTAATTCAATTAACTAAAACTTAAATCATCTGGTATGTTTTATACAACATATTATGGCAAACAACTGGCCCACCTGATTTAAAGTGGTAACCGTCGCCTATAGATCTGCTTGGCTACTTCTGTCCTAGTTGTGTTTTTAACGCCGAAAAACCTTAATTGTATGATAATGTTTCGATTCAAAGACTAAGATGTATGTAGCACTAAAATTATAGGGTACAGTGGCGTAATGTCTTAATCCGGGGGAAAGGGTTGTTAGCAATGGAGTTTGACAGTCCCATTGCTAGCAATATGCCCTATTAGGTCGTCTTCCACGTGGTTCTCCCTGGAAACCATCTTGAACAATTCTTGTTGAATTCGTCACGATGGGCTAACTGACCTGCTTCATTCTCACCTATCATTTTTCACTGGTGCCCCGCCGGTGTATACCGATAGCGCAAGTGGGGTTACCATTCCATTATCACCCATTAAAAAAAATGTCTTAATCCTCAGGAATGGCAAAGCATAAAGGATAGAATTTATTAATTTAGGCATTAATTATATATTTGATTGTAATGTCGGATATCTATTTTATAGATAGATAGATAGATACTCTCTATTGTTTCCTCCAAAAGATTAAAATAGTAAACTTATTCTAGATATAAACAATTACAAGAAAACACTATTACTATTTTAGTATTTATGTTAAAAATCTGTTATCCAATATTATTTTTTGGATAACACACTTTTAACACATTCGTTATTGGACCAGTATATACGAGTAGATATTGTAACTAAAATATATAGATATTGATATAAACGTATTTTTTTTATGGGTGAAAATGGTATGGTAACCCCGCCCGTGCTAACGGGATACGCTGGCGGAGCACCAGTGAAGGGTGATAGATGAGAATGAAAACAGGCCAGTTAGCCCATCATGATGAATTCATCAGGAATTAACCTTGATAGTTTCCAGGAGGAACCGCGAGGAGGTCGACCTGGTTGGGTATATTGCTAGCAATGGAATTCTCAGTCTCCATTACTAACAATCCCTTTCCCCCCGATATATTTGTATTACCCATCCCTAATAACGTTTCTTCCATGCCTCCCAATAGTTTCTTTAGCTTATTTACTTCTTAAAAAAAAAAACATAAAACGGATCTTTGAACGTTCACATGTGATTTATTGATAAGACATCTTTATCTATAGATAATATCGTTATATCGACTTAGTCTCACAGCAAAGATAGAATTAATTCCGTGCCACCAATAGAAATGGTGAGTTATTGTAATATATTATGTTTTATAAGTAATTAATTCATCAGTCATTGCTGATACGTGGCCGCTGCCTGCCCAATGTTGTTTATCAATCACTTATAATATAAATAATATTGTTATCTAATGATCTGTGATTCTATTAAAAAATGTTGATGTTCTTTATCGGTGCGGTTGTGGTGTTTTTATACGTTCTTTCTTTTGTGAGTAATCTATTTTCTTTCATTGAACACTGAGCTTTTACTTGCGATTTGGTCCTCGTAACCGGATAATGTTCACAGACTAAAATAAAAAGTAGCCTAAGTCCTCTATTGCTTATAGTGCATGTCCTAAGTTTCATAGTGATTGTTTAAGGCGCTAAAAGGTAATAAACAAACTCACTTTCACATTCAATAGTAAAGACTATTATTTTAAAATAAATTCTTGGGAAATAAGTAGTAATTATATCCCCCATGTGATATCATTCCTAGAGACTAAGGTGTTTTTTTTTGATGGGTGAAAATGGTATGGTACCCCCGCCTGCGCTAACGGTATACGCTGGCGGAGCACCAGTGAAGGGTGATAGATGAGAATGAAAACAGGCCAGTTAGCCCATCATGATGAATTCATCAGGAATTAACCATGATAGTTTCCAGGGAGAACCGCGAAGAGGTCGACCTGGTTGGGTATATTGCTAGCAATGGGATTCTCAATCTCCATTACTAACAATCCCTTTCCCCCCATTACTAGATGTTTGGCATCTTTATGAGATCTTTTCTATTCTTACTTCTTTACTAACATTATAAAAGTGAAAGTGTGTTTGTTACCTCTAAGTGTCTTAATAACTCGAGCAATCCTCGTAAAAGGCATAAGTACTTGTTATATATGGAATGAGGAAGGTCACAAGCTACTTTTTATCCTGGTAAAGTTATATGATCCGGTCATTCGGACACATTTCTGAATCTTTCTTTTTGTACCACTAAACTATCTAGATAGCTAAGTACAAAAGTCGATCTTATCGATAGGGCAATATTTTGCAAACAACCTTTTTGAGGAAAAAACAAGATAGGAAAAACCATAGACTTAGTATAACATACTTACGTAAAACGTAGGTACATTAAATGTATTACAAGGCCGTTTCAGGGCTGAGGGGCAAAATCAACAAGGGATAGGAAATTCGGTTTGCTTTGCTTAAAATTTTCTCTCCATCAAACTTTATTATTATTTGTAGCTATACTAATAACCCCCCCCCCCTCTCAACCCTTTGAACGCTAATAAAACTGGTCTATTCCGTTCAGTAATATTTCGTAAAGTGTTTGTTTTTATTAAAATTTAAAATTATTGTTTACACATAAACAAATTTAAATATTTGTCAGTAGAAAGTCAAGGTTGTGAAAATAACGACCTACTTTACACAACCATACGCAGTTTACATAGTTTTCGTAATTTTTTATCGCTCTAATACAACATGAAGTTGGAACTGTAAACATGAAACGACGCGACACGTTTTTTGTAAACTATTTTTTTTATTACAATACACAATGGGTTTAAATCAGAGATTGCAACACTTATTATAAGGATTTAGGAGGAGGAGGACCAGAGGGAGATTTTGTACAAAAGTCGATTGCGGGTACCTCTGTCCCATTCGTGTTTAAACCTTGAAGCAGTTGTGTTTGCATAGCTGTGCTTTACAAGGTACAGAGGAATAACACCTGAGTCCTCAGGAATGGCAACGCATGAAGGGTATCATGGGTGAAACAGTATGCTGTGTTATGTCCATGGTACTGCTCATGTCTATAGGCGACGGTTACCACTTTCCATCAGGTGGGCCGTCAGCTTGTTTGCCATTCTAAGTTGCATAAAAAAAACAAAAATTTCTAATCATCACTCATCATTATCTTATCAGCCGTATAGTGTCCACTGCTGAACATATGTCCACCTCATAAAGGAGAGTTTTGCCAGTGATTGCCTCGCTTTAGGCTTTGGTGATGTTGTGTGTGTGTGATGCAGTGTGGCAACAGGCGGGTTGGCAACCCGCAACAACAAATAGGCTTTTAGTGATGTATTAAAAAGGACGCTACTGCTCATCCCTCGACTTTTAATTTCCCTTAGTCGCCTCGAACGATACTCACGGGAAAGGCAGAAATGATCCATTCTATGCCGGGATCACACGGCAATATGTATACTGAAGTTAAAATAACAAATAATAAACAGAGAGACAACCCTATGACATACATCGTACTTACGATATACAATTTTACTTCCCAGTATATAACTAAAAGTGACTGTATCTACGTCTTTTATTTTTGCTCCTAATAATACGTAAAACATAAAATAATTTCTTTATTTGCACTCAGAATATGTATAACTTCTTTAGCAGTGTTTTTAGTTACGTTCCAAGTGGAAACACGGATGAGGTTTTTATCGCCAAGTTTTATGTTTCTGTCGCCAAGTGTGCTTGTGGATGTGTTTTAGTTTTAAGTAGGTGACATGACATTTCTCAATTATCGTCTTCATATCAACCGTTAACTGTCCACTGGTGAACATAGACCTTCGGCATAAGGGGTTTTAACAATAATCACTACGGTTAGCAGGTTAGCGGGTTAGCAACCGTTGCTAGACTTTGGTGATGTTTTAAGACCTGAAAATTTGTCTTTGGATTATTGGGTTATAAAGACCCAATTAAAGAGATAAACAATCGAAAAGTTTGAGAAGTCAAATTTCGGTTAACGAGGTTTGAAAATTCCTAGTAACAGAAATCTTTCAATGTAAAAGTGTCGGGACTTCATTATAATTATCAATAAAAGAGGTTTCTTACATATCCAAGGTCCACTTAAACAGGTTTCCCTGATCAAATGCAACATTTTAATTCCAGGTGATCGTGAGATACAATAAGATCGATTTCGATCGAAAGATACCGGAAAATGGGTCTGGTGGACGCAGCAGCGGCATCCATTCTGCAAGCGCGAGCCCCACACCTTCAGAACGTTCCTCGCCTCGCTCGCTTCATTCCAGACACCGAGATGTCAGCCCACCTGTAAGCTTTTTATAGTTTAAATAATGATGCTGTTGTGATGAACGTAGTCCTCAATATTTCCACATTCTGCCAATAACAATTTATATTGTGTCAAAAATATAAATTTCGACTTACGTATCAAAGGCTCTAAAGATGTTTTACAAAGTTTTACAATATATTTTTTTATTAATTTATCATTTGTTCGAATGTTTACGTATGGAACATAATGTAGTCTAAACAACTGGATGGCGATCCAAACAGTTAGAATGATAATTAAATATTACATTTAGTACTTATTACAGATTTAGGAACTTGAAATGAAGACGTTTTAAAATTTGTCACTACGGCAGTTGACACCCCCTTTTTTGGTCAAGCCGTCTAGACTACACGGCCATAGCTACACAATATAATATATAATTCCATTAAATTAAAATAACTATATTAAAAACTTACAATGTTGTGATACCCCAACTGCACATAAGGTCGTTATCCCGTACCATTTGGCCTTTTGGATCTTTAGATGCCGTTAATAAATTGTAACGCCATAATGCGAATAATGCCTTTCCCTCATACCGAGAAAATACTTTTTAGTATTAGTATAAACTATTTATTTCTGTAAAAAAATTTCAGCTCAACGAAGACATATCAGAATGGGAGGAAGGCGAAGGCACAGATGATACGCATGAACTACCGAAACGCATACCTTTTCCAGAATTTGGTGGGGACATAGTACATAGTACCGGTAAGATAGTCGTTGAAAGCTGTGAGAATTTGTATTAAAACGTCTCAATTGTTTCACTTGAAACATGGATTTCGAAATAGTCTTTCTTAGTAACTTATTATTTATTAGAAATGTTTATACAAATATTCATTTATTTAGCAGTTTTGACGAGTCAGTCAGTTTCTTCCTACTTATAATAATTAATTATTTAATACATAGTGTAAATAATAATCTTATTTGTTATTAAAGATAACGAAGACCGCGACTTCGATGAAGTATCCGGCAGCGACATACAAGCAGTGGACGGCAGTTGGGAAGAAAACTGGCTCTTCCAAAAGAAGAAAATAAAAAACATCCAATCAGTTCCTGTACCAATGTTGGTGCCGAATAGCAACACAGAGTATCGAGCTCTCATAGGTGATAGAGATGCTGACGACACTACTGATTTATCAGACAATGCCAGTGATGATGGTGAAGAGGACGCTCAGTACAAAAGCGACTTTAAAAGAGTTCTGGATTCAAAACACGTGATTGGCGGAAAACCTAAAATAGATGAAGTATTAGATTATGAACCAGACAGTTTGACTGTGGAAGCTGAATCTGGGGACTTCGAAAATTTTAATGAATCTAATAACCATGTTACTGAGATAGTAGATGCTGTAAATGACAGCATACATGACAATGACTTCGTAGCGCTGGACAGTTCAAACAATGTTCATAATGAAAATGGAAATGATTCAATTTTAGAAATTGATATAAACAGCGGTCCTTTGCCTAAAGCAGAGTTCAATTTGAAGGAAGAAATACACAGAACTATACTTAATGGGAACGTAGAAGATTATAACGACATGAAAGATGCAAAACTCGTTAATGAAGAAACAGTTAAAAAAGATAATTTGGATAGTTTCTCCAGTCATAAAGGTAAATTATTACTACATATTTATTATGATAACAATTATAGCAAACAAGTATAAATATAGTTCACCTGAAGATAAGTAAACGGTAAAATATAAGGGTCTTGTAGAATAATAACATTGTAAATAATAATGAACTAGAATTACTAATGAATCGAGATATGATGTCCTATATCCTTCTCCGTATCAAATACTACATGTTTTCAAGTTTGATGACAATAATAGTAGGGCATATAAAGCATTAAATAGCAATAAATAGTAGACTCACTTTCACATTGAGACAAATTGTAATTGCACAAAAAAGACTAAGACTCTTGAAACGTAATTTTTTTAGGATCAACAACATTACAAAGTCAGCATGAGCGAGAGGGAGAATATGAAGAAACAGTTACTGTTCCAGTACAAAGGTATGCGGACAGTTTACGAAGAAAACATTTTGACGAGTATCCACAGGAGTAAGTAAAATCGTCCACTTTATAATAAAATATAGTATAATTATAATAAGATAATTCATATTTTGTTTCCCAAAAGAAAGTTCATCATGACCACTAGTATGGAACCAACATAAATTAAAATGCTATAGATTAAAAGAGAATAACTAAAATCGGTTTACAATTATCGAAGATACAATACAAGCTTCTGATATATTGCACAAGGTTTACTACACGTAAATAAAGTAGAACTAGTATTATGAATAAAGGCAACCGGTAAACGATAGATTAATGTATCGCATAACATCTACCTATAACGGTAAATTGCTAATTTGTAAGTTTGAAGCTTGATCCAAATAAAATTACACAGTAACTGAACATGTCCTTAAGTTAGGTTTGTTTTTTTTTTTCAGAATACCAACACGTGATACAGACAACGAAGACTTAATACCAGGTAAATAACAATATCATATTATCTTAGTTTTAATTATTAAATATTTCATAAACCCTAATTTGTACCTATACAACATAAATATCTTTAAACTTCCAGGCTCGATTGCACACAGAGAACGCCAAAAATGGCTGAACTACGTTGAAATGCCAAACAACCCTTACTCTCCGGAAGCAATACAAAAGAGATTGACGGCTAAAAGTACTTCGTCTCTTTTTGATACACTAACTGCTAAAACTATGGACATCGACGATGTTGATACAAACACTACAAAAAAGATATTAAATGAAACAAATGTAAATAAAGAAGAAATCCCAGTTAAGGAAATCAATGAAAACAATCCTCCATTGTTACAAGTTAATACTGATATAAGTATGAATGGTACAAGATCAAAAAGTCCTTCACCAAGGATATTACAAGATGTTCTAGCGGAAGATATTTCTGAATATAAACGGTAGGTTACGTTATAGTGCCTTTTAGATTAACTATTAAATTGTAAGTACTGATAGATCACAATACAATAATACAATTTTCTATTTCTTCCAGCTACGATAGAGATTATTACATAAAAAACGCAAAAAATTCATCTGGGTCTCGCAAGAAGAGTAGTTACAGTGACACGAGTTCCCTTTCATCAATGAACAAATCGACAAGTTTAGATAATTTCGATACAGAACTATCGCCTGTAAGTGCTAGCAGCTCATTGAGCGACCTCGAAGCGACCGCCCTTCATCAGAATATCGTCCGCGCCGTTCTCAGCCCACGAAATGCGAGCCCCAACTTCGCCATCAACCCTATTTTCGAAAACCCCGATAGACAGAACGATAACGCTGACGAAAATCATGTGACAGACAAGCGTAAAATCAGTCGAAATGCCAACGTAAGACAACAAAGTAGAACTGTGTGCGAGGAAGGTGACGGTTATGTGGAAAACGAGGATATAGTTAGACTTAAAATACCACAAATACCAGAAATTACTGAAGACCTTTTCGAGACGTATACGAATGTTAGGCGGAGCAACACTCTCAGAAGCGAAGACCTGTGCGTTCGCTCTAAACGGCGGCCTGGTCTCAATTATACGTTCGGTGGAAGTCTAAGGTTAAACAAAGGTTTCCGTAATGACCTCTGGTGAAAACTTCCATTGTTTCAAAATATTCTAATACACCTCCAATCTCAATTAGCACTTATACTGACAATGTAATCAGTCCTACCGAAATTTCAACTTATGTATTATATGAATCTCTGACTATGTACGATACTTACATAGGTGCCCGGACATACGCAATATTCTTTAGACTTAGAAAACTTTAGGATAATTCTGACATCACAACCACCTTTCATAGAACGTTCAATTGGTTAAAGGATCTTCTATCATTGCTAAATCGTCCACAAAAATCTAAAATATCTTCGTTTTGACACACAGTAGCCTGTTGTGTGTAAAAGTTGGCATGTTTTTGTTATATAAGAATCCGCTGACTAACAGCACTTTGCACTTACAAATAAGAGGGTATCTCTAGTAATGCACTTATAGATTTGTGTCCTTCTTAATGAACATTTTCAGTACTATTACTACAGTAATCTTCCAAGAAGTTAGTGGTGAGTGTTGTACGATTTTGCCCAAAAAGTTATGACTAACCGCATTGGATGGCTTGTCTGTGAACTAACATGTATAACAATATTTTCTATTCATATTCTTACACGACTTACTCATTACCTTTATCACAATGTATCTATACCTACATCAGTATCATTTAAATTATAGTAAACAGCAATATGAGTTGGCATTTTTAAAAAATTGCACCTCTCTACTTGTTATAATAGCACGCAAACCACGTTGTATAAAATGTTATTCTATTTGTTAATAATTAGCACGAATTGGGGCTTTTAGATGGCGTTATAGAATCTGTTTTAATAGTCTAAATTTACTATTGAATATAATAACTAAACATAGCGAATATATACTTCATAACTATATTGAAATTTCAGGGATTACTTATAAAGCAATTCAACACGATTGCCGCAAACCAACAGTATACGACGTTCGCTAAGAACCAGCCTAAAGAGTCCATAACCACAAATTCAAATAATAATAAAACAGATATTATAATCGAATACGATGACGCTAATGAAAATACATTATTTTCCGCTAAACCAGCATATGTTGATGATGATACAGACAAGAGATTCGAAGAAATTATGCAGTCCGCATACAATACAACTCCTATAGTAGACATTAAAAATGATAAAACAGTTGACGAGCCTTTAAATTCGCCGTCTAATTTTAGCGTGGACAACTCATATATAAGCACGAGTAGTTTGGAAGATTCAATCAAGATCTACAATGTACAAACAGGCGAGATAGTGAAATGTCAACCTGAAGATAAGGTATCTCCGAGATATGAGGATGTGGCCGACAGAAATGACAATATCGATACAGATAAGAAACTAGAGGAAACCAATATCAGACTCAGTGCGAGTAGCGATGTAGACGATAAAACTGCAGCTAAAGAGGAAAGTTTGAAAAGAGACTTGGAGAGGCATCGTGAGGCGGAAGACATTTTACCACAACTGCCCAAAGTGAAGGAATTGGCTAAAAAGTTTGTTAGCATGGATAATTTGCATAAGCCAGTGAAGGTCAGTTAATACTCAGTTCAGAATTAGATTATTTTTAAAATGGCAGATAATGAATTACTTTTGCATATACTAAATTTGTATTTATACTCTTTCACCATAACTTTATCCACCTAACCGGGATTAAAAATAGCATATGTCCTTTTTTCTCTCAAATATGTGTTTACCAAATTTCAGTACTAACGTGTCAAGAGATAACAAACTCACTTTTACATTCATAATATTATTATACCTACTAATGTTATTATTGTTTTATCTTAAATATGTTATTTAAAGATTTTGTTTTGGTATATAGATATTTAGTTAAAAAGGAAACAAACGCCCATATGACTATTTAAACATTTTCAATGAGACCGAATCTGAACCGCCATTCTCTTAACCTATTCCTAAGACTAATACTTTAATTTAATTGTTTACTACTATTTTATTTGCCATCGTAAACTATAATAATGTTAATTTTAATGTATAATACCTATTAAACATTTAGTTTTTTTTATACAACTTAGAATGGCAAACAAGCTGACGGCCAACCTGATGAAAAGTGGTTACCATCGCCTATACACATGAGCAGTACCATGGACATAATAGAGTATACTGTTTCGCCCATGATACCGCCCATGCGTTGCCATTCCTGAGGACTCAGGTGTTATTCCTCTGTACCGTGTAAATTCACGCCATATCCCACCCTTCAAACCGAAACACAGCCATGCGAACACACTGCTTATATTGGTCCTTAGAATACAGATTTCGCTGTTATAGCAAATAGAATTTTAATGAGATAGGTTTAAAGAATGGCAACATAGCATCAACCCCAATCTCACTTATGTATTTAATGTAGTTATTTTTTTTGTTTATTCATGTAAACATAATCATTTATTTTAAACGAATCATATGTTTCTTCCAGCCACCACAACCGATCACGAAGCGGCGAAAAAGCAAAGATAACATCTTAAATTCAGATAAATTATCAAGTAAAATGTACATGCACAGCCTAACAGCCAGAAGTGTCTCCAAAGAGTTCAGAGAAGAGCTGAAACTCTCTCGGCCAAATCCGCTTAAGGTACCCGGTGGCTCTAAAGAGATTCCAGAAGGAGAGGAAATCACGAAGGAATCCAGCAGACCAGGGAGCCCTCAACCGGAACCTGGAACTATAAAATCCAAATTAGCGTTCTTTGAAAGCCTCAAAAACAAATTTAGTAATAGCAAATAAGCTTTTGATGGTTTGGCTTTATACTTTTTTATTGGTGTTGTCCTTTTAGCGTCCCACTTAAAACGGTTGGTTAATTTAATATTCTATATTTTTTTTTAAATACTAACCCGACAGAGGTCATCTGTCAAATATTTGACGTGACGTTAAATACTTGAATTGACAGCTAAGTAGGAATAGTTTAAAAAAAATAAAAATGGAATTTGTTTTTTTTTTTTGGACAATTCTTACAATTTTTCTTTTTGTTAATTTATTATTATTATTTTAATGTAAAAACAAATAATGATCCTCTGTCAAATAAAACTAAACAGGGGCGCTAGGGGCACAACTTTTGTCAAACAATCCGATTGGGGCGGGTAAAATATATTGTTTTTATTTTCTTTTTAATTTATTTATATTTCAAGAGAATTCATATACTTTTTTTCTATTTATTTATTAAAGAATAAGCATTACAAATATTTATATACAAGAATGTGCTTATTGCTATTACTGAATTAGGCCACAAGCGTAATCTCTCGAAGTGTATCAATGCAACGATAACATCAGTATGTTATAATAAGTCTAGTGACTTACATTGTCATCAAAAGATACGTTGACAAATCCATTATTTGGTTTATGTGACTCATATAATAAAAGCTAGATTCGTTATCAGCGTCGAAAATACATTTGGTTAATTCCAACTGACTTCTTATAAATATATTTTGTCGCATCATGATTTTCTGTACATGCGTTCAAAACACAGTATTTCAGCTACAACTTGTTTACATTTTTGTAAATAATTCATGTAGTTGAAACACTATTATGGACGACTAAAATCTGTTATACACACATGCCCCCATTAATGTTTCATCTAATACCTAAAGCAGGGTTTCTCAAAGTGTGACCTGGGGGTCATAATAGGAGTGATGGGGATTTTTACTAACAAAATTTAATAAATCTCAAACAACTGCAATTTCACCCTCATCTTATATTGCAGAGTTCGAGTAAATGTGTTGAATGAATCAGAGTAGAAATTTACTAAAAACAGGACCATCTTTCCCTTAAACAGCCGTGTATTAGTTTATTTTTTATTTTTTTTTATCACTTTGAAAATGGTTTAGGAATATTAAAGTTTAAGAAACCCGAAAAGAGAGAAGAGAAAAGTTGCATAATATTTTTGTGGACGATATTAATCGTATAAATATTAAACGTATTTAGGTTACGGTGTAAATAAGTTAGTGCCATTTTACTGAACTTCATTTAAATGTCATCACTTCTTAATTTAAGTTGTTAGCAAATGCCAAAGTTGTATATAAAACATTATGTTACTGGTTATTTTTCCTATAGTTTGCGTGTTACAGCATGATGTGTCTTACGTCACTCAATCCGTAGAAAAAAAAAAAACATAACCTATGGATTAAACATAATATTTGATCAGAGTATCAATTCTTTATATAAAATATACTTAAACTCAAAAAATATCATACATGTTTATAATGTAAAGTGTCAACTATCCCCGCATTGTACTACAACACGCAGAATATAGTGGTCGTGTCCAAATATTTAGCCGTTTCCTCATACCGTAGCTCTATCAACAGATGTGACTTCATAATAAATAAAAAACATTAAGTAAATTCTTTATGACGGAACATCTTAAAAATGCCACAAAATATCCCAAAAACAAAATTAAACAATAAATAATTTAACCAACGATATTTAAATATGTAATTGTAGTAAAATGAATTATAAACCGTCGTCAACAGAGATAACTCTATCCATTAATCCCTTATTAAACTTTTTTTTCTAGTCTTTAGCCATCTTAAGGGTTTAGACATATTGATAGTATCTTTTGAAACCAAATATAAATTAATTGAACTACTACTTTTTGGAACATGCCTAGCTGTGCTGTGAGGAATCTGGCTAAAAAATACTATATATATAAACTACTTAACTGTAAGCGGTGCAATAATAGACTCCCTCCTTACTTTATACTGCGGGACCATTATTATATTACTATTGTGATAAATTGATAATGTAAAAAATAACAAAAAATATGTTACAATAGTATAAACAATAAAATTGAAATAACAAAGATGTATATCATTTATTCCTTCACCTCGTAAATTACAAAAATATGTATAACATGAAATATTAGATTCGAAAAACATAACCTTCTGACCGGGACTAGATCAATATGTTTTAAGAGAAATATGGGTATCTCAGACACCGCATATACTGTACAGATAGGAATAAAAAGGTTATTTTTTTTTAATCTAATATTTTTTTTTAATATAACATTATTTTAAATTATCTTTTTCTATCCTTACAATTCAATTCCTTACAATATCAATATTATCCTTACAATTCAAAATTACAATCTAAGTAAATGCGGATCTTCGTGTTTAAATTATATTTTAATAATAAATACCCAAAGTTTTGTGAAAAGGTATTCTTTCTAATTCATCCGCATATTTTCTCCTATAGCACCATAAGTAGTAATCAATGACACTTGAATTCGGTACTTCCATGTCTTTCTTGCTGTTCTTAATCTTATCCTCGATTCTTTTTTTAAGAAGCTCTACAGCCTGAATAGAACAGCCCCTGATTTCCACCTCTTCTTCTGAACCACTTTCAAGTAGAACATCTGGAAATAAAAACTGTCATAACAACTTTGTGGATACGCAATTTATAAAGCTGACTAAACCTTCTCTGGATTTTCTGGACAATTTAACAGTTTCCTGGATTGGTTCTCATGCATTAGGAAAAACACCACATAACTTATATAATGTCTATATTTAATGGATGATAATGGAATGGTAACCCCTCCTACGCTCACAATGTACGCTGACGGGGCAACGGCGAGGGATGATAGGTGAGAATGAAAAGACAGGTCAGTGATGAGTTACATCATGATGAATACACCTAAAATTCAGCACTATGGTTTCCAAGGGTGCCAACATCGAAGTCGACCTGACACTGGGACTGGTAGTCCACATTACTAACAATCCCTTTCCCCCACACAATGTTGTTAAGAAGCAAGTAAAATATTTATATAAAGTCTGTATCATCACCATCATCATCTTCCTGCCCTTATCTTAATTAATTAGGGCCAATATAATAATTTTCTCCATATCACTCAAGATTTTGGCTTTTGGTTTCACAACTGGCCACCTGTCTGAAGTCTTGGGAAGATTTGTATGTCTATCACAAATTCTTTTCAATATAAATAATAGCACTACTAGCGTACAGTATGGTTATTCCCTGACCCACCCTCGAAATAACATCATAATTTCTGTTACAAGTATGACTCTTTTCAGATAATAATTGCAATGTCTACCACACCTAAGAACTAACATTAAAAGTTGAAAGAACTTACCATTTTTCACTTTATCCATCAATGTATCACTGTAACTCAAAACTCCAAAATATACCAAGACTTGTGGGATCCTATAATCGGCAAACATGGTAATGGCATCGATATCTTTGAATTCACCCCAGCCCGTTCCATGAAAGAAGTTCCATATATCGGCAACTAAAATTTGTGCTCGTTTATACAGCGAAACCTTAGTACCCTTGTACACCACCTCATCTCTGAAGCATGGAAAACTATCTACAATTATCTGAAGCAACTTCACTGCAGATTTGTTGGCTTCTTTCAAACACGACACAAATGTGCCATTATATTTTTGCAAGAGTATTGTGCCCACTTCATGCAATGTAGATAATCTTTTGTCAAATAAAGGTATTTCTGCTTCATTGTCACTTCTCATTATAGTACGAAGTTGGTTTTCTGTTATTTTTGAATAGTATTTCGGATTTGTAATGTCAATACCTTCCTGAAAAAATACTACCAAAATTCAAGATCATATCATTTATTAAGCAAATATAAATTTTATAAATAAATGTGTGTACTTTTCTTGTCAACAATCAAGTCAATAATAGGTATTGTAATTATCTTTTACCATCACCTCACAAAAGGATGACCCAAATCCCACTCTGAGAACCCCTGATATTGTAACCTACAGTCTAGAGAGACTTCAATGTACAGACATAAGTGGCAAATAAACCTTAACGCAACAACAGTGCAGTAATATAAAAACAAAACTGAACTAGCATTAGCGTTCTTTTTATGCAACTCGGGAATTTGGCAAACAAGCTGATGGCTCACTTGATGATAAATGATAACTGTCGCCTGTAGATACAAGCAACATTAACATCACATTATAATACAGACACACTATTGCTTTATCCCATAAATATAAGATTTTTTTATGTAACTTAGAAAGGTTTCACCCATGATACTCCCCATGTGTTGCTGTTCCTGAAGACTCGGGTGTTATTCCTCTGTACCCTGTAAATTCACTGCCTAATTATAATTCAGAACCTTTGCAAATTACTTTTATATCACCAGTATACATTGGGGAGGAAAGGGACTGTTAGTAATGGGGTCTAACTGCTTCACAACAACAACGAACTTATCAGGTCAATCTCCACATAGTTCATCCTCAAAGAGAAGATTGTCAACTACATGCTTTCTCACTGTATTGGGTTGACTGGAAGAAATCTCTTTTAGAGATAAGTCCATCCTTTCTTACAATATTTATAACTATCTTATCTATGTAATTTACAAAATTCTATTGATTTACCTTAACAGCCCTACTCAGTGCTGCTTCCAATGCATAGTAACCACTATGCCCATCCACAGTCCACTTCACAGCTCCAGTGTATGACCAGAAGCAAAAGTTAAGAGCATCAGCCACAAATATCCAGTCAACTGCTTTCGGATCATCTTTACTCAGATATGAAATGTTGGCCCCTGTGTCTGGGATCTCCAGTTTATCTTTTATTGATGTAAACATCTGAAATGCATTAAAAATTCTAAGAAATAAAATAGTAGAATGTAAAAAAAAATTATACACATATAATGGTGGCAAACCTGTTAACCACTGTGGTATAACAATTTTACTCCTTTGGAAAAAAATGTAATTCCAATTCTATTATATGTTATTGAGTGACTTCCCCCATTAATTCTAGTATAAGTATGAGTTTAATCTGGGCGCAAAACATCACTGATTAGATTTTTTAAATAAAACTAAGAATAAACTATTTAAGTAACCAGGAACTTACCTCTGCAGAAAGTTTTTCAAGGCCCTCTTCATGTATTTTTACATGTGTGGAATGTTCTGAAATGTATAATGCAGATTGTGCCGGCGGCAATATTCCTTCGCGTGTCATTGTATTATTTTCTTAATCCTTAAATAGTCTATCATAAGCAGGTATTTAATATTTTATCAGCGCATATGATCTTTGGCACAAGTTTGTAAATATATGTTTTTTTTGTATAAATGATAATACCAGATGTAAACCTTAACAAAAAAAACACGGCAAACACCTGAAATTATCGAATTGGATTGGAAAATAAAATTATAATAAGAAAGAACCAAATGAAAAACAAAAACAGCTGACTTGGACAACTGTCTGTACCAGGGCTACGTCACTCAGAACAAAAACTTCTTTATAATTCTATATCACTAATTCTTAGCATTTTGTTAACTTTTTATTATAAATAGTCAAAATTTTTCATAATATCTTTTAGTATCTATATTTTTTAAAATGACCTATTATAAATAGTTATACAACACTGTGTATATTTATTTATATTATTATGTTAATATTATAAGCTGGTAATATAATACCATTTTCCAGTTTTATTCAATATAGGCAGAGCCGATGCCATAACCATATGTCATAGCTATCAAAGTCAAACTGTTTCGAACTAAAATAATCTGGATAGTTATTAATATAGTATTATATTATCTGTGGGATTATACTGTCAATATTGCCAATATAGCCCTTTAGATCTAGATCTTGCTGTTTTTCTTCGCCCAAACCCTTTATTTTAATTTAGATTCAGAGCTTACATTAAAATATAAACAGACACACTAGCTAACCCGAGAGACAAAATAATTCAGGTTTCTGATATATAAATACAATATAAATAACAAAAAAATATATAGCAACTGATTACAGTAACATATACAATAACAATTAGTTTCTTAAAATAGTATATATTTTAAAAAATAATATAAAAGGTTTTGTTTAGGTAAAAAATTGGCCTCGGAGTTGGGGAAATGCTATACGGTTTATCTGTAAAATCTAAAATTTTATTGGTAACCCTCTTATTAAGTGACAATTATTGTCACTTATCTGTCTATCAGTAGCTGTCAGTTCATAGTAATTTTGGAATATTTTTTTTGTACTGTATTCAATTTTGAATTTCTACAAATTTCACAGCATAGAGGCCAATTCTGATACATTTATTTATTAGATTTAGAAAAGAAAACCAATAATGCCACTAGACGTACAAGGCACTTTTGTATCTCAGAAGATTAATAAGGTTAGGTGGATACCCGAAGAGTACGTTGAGACAAAATGCTTTTTTACCGGTAGTTGGGACGATGACGTGAATTCTGTAAAAGTTTGGACTTTAGAAAGTCTTCACGAAGACGCAGAGATTGATTATCCTCGGGTGCTTTCTGAATACACCGTGGACGGGGATGTTACACAGATCAAATTTGTGGACAAAACTAAGATAGCTGTATCGACGTCGGACGGGGATGTGCGTATGCTAGAAGTTAGCGCGTACGAGAAACAAACTCCGCTTAAAGACATATATGCCTGGGAAAAGTTACACAACTATGGGTGAGTATTCTTTACCAATCTTTAGACAGTCCCTATTTAGAATATACTAGGTGTGTAGGTAGATCATTACATACTTACTACTTTTCCTATATCTTAAATTAATCCTTCTTGTTCCAGGATAGGAACCCTTTTTCGGTATAAGCCTCCTCTAACCGTTTATCTCTATCCTTAACTATTATTTCCCACCCTTTACCTGTTCATCCTACATCACTTCATTGTTTCCTAGGTCATCCTTTTTCCATTTTGCCCAGTTTAACTTGTTGTTTCTATTGGTGATCTATCTATCAGAAGATAGAAAGAAGAATGTTAAATATCTATGATATTTAACATGCTTCTTTCCGGGGGGGGACGGGATTGTTAGTAATGAGGAGTTTAGTCCCCATTGCTATCAATATACCCCATCAGGTCGTCCTCCACGTGGTTCCCCCTAGAAACTATCGTGACCAATTTATCATTGAATTCATCACAGTGGGCTAACTGACCTGCCTTTTCATCCTCACCTATCACTGCTCACTGGTACCCCGCTAGTGTATACCGATAGCGCAGGCGGGATAACCATGCCATTTTCACACATAAAAAAAAACATGTTTCTTTCCATTGATCTGTGAGTAGTAATTCATTTCAATTTAAAAGAGAAATTTAATTTTATTTAATTTTCTTGTTACAGAGCAGAACAATGTTCATGCACATCTTTAGATACATTTGAAGGTGATATAGCAACAATCGGTGAAGATGGCAATTTAAATATATTGAATGGTCGAAGAGGGACTATAAGTCGCACACTCACTGCAATAGACAGCTGTTCATTACATGCTGTTTGCTTCATAAAGCATAATGAGGTACTTATTACAGTTTACCATATTCCACAAGCACATTTTTCATATGTACACATCATCATATCAGCCTTTAACTATCCACTGCAGAACATAAGCCTCCCCCTTGGGGGTATTGTTGCTTGCCAGTAGTTGCCACGCTTGGCAGGTGGATTGGAAAAATAATAATATACTTATTTATATGTGTAAGTTCATTATTATTTATATATATATATATATATATATATATATATATATATATATATATATATATATATATAATCTCTCTCTCTGCTGCGCGACTCGGAAACATAGTTGTAATAAAAAGTAAAAAGATAAAAATATTTAAATAAATAGATATTGCATTTAATGTTACAAAAAAGGTTTTTAACCTGCCGCCACATTACTACAATATCAAAGATCCCTCTATGGAATTAATCTGCCATTGTATATTAAATATTTTTTGTGTCCATTGTAAAGCATGTGCAATAAAATACACAAAATAACTTTACCTGTAAAAGCAATTTCTCGCCAATTAATATTTAAAATAATTTGTGATTGAATACAAAGTTTAGTACCAAAGATATTTTCTCACATTTCACTTTTGCTACCTCTATTTTCAGAACTCATGCATAGAAGTCTATACAATAGATACTCTTGACTTTTACTATAAAGTCGATCGCATACTGTCAAACTCAGTGTTGGTTTCACCCAGTTTGTTCATGAAGAATAATTGTTTGATATCTTTTTTAGGTTATAACCGGCAATATACGGGGACACATGAAGATATGGGATCTCAGAATTACAGACAACAAACCTACTGCATCATTCCTTTTAGCTGGTGATGAACTTGCTGCCACTTGCATCGTATACCATCCAACGCAACCTCACGTAATCCTTGCAGGCAGCGAGTCTGGATCACTCGCTGTCTGGGATCTACGTATGAACTCGTTCCCTACCTCGTTGCTAAATGCCCATTCGGCAGGTGTTACCGAAATGCAGTTTCATCCAGAGAACCCAAATAAATTGCTAACTTGTTCAGTGTCTGGTGAAATTTGGGATTGGAACGTGGAGGGGATCACCAAAACCACAAAAGGGCCTGATAACCAAGTAACGACATGGGTACCCTTGGAGAATAAAAATACAATGACAGTGAACTCTTTAATGCCCACTTTGCATAAGCCTATTAATAGTTTACATTGTGATAAAGGAAGAATTCTCTGCGGAGCAGACAATGAAGCTGTGTATGTGATAAAAAATTATAAATATTAAGTTTTGTTGATTTTTTTTTATCATAATGTCCATCTGGATGGAGTTTCTGACCATTGAGATGGTATGGGATTGTGGCATGGGCATTAATTAATTAATTTTACATGTTCTCCACTTTATTTACAAATCAATCAAAAAAACAAGAGAAAGTGATTAAAAGAGATAAATAACGTCAACTCTATTAATTTACACTCACCATTGATATTATTACTGGTGAGTGTAAAATAAAATTGAAAAATAGGAAATGTTAGAGATAAGGAAAGTTCTTATGAAGGCTATCTTTTTTTTTTTATTTTGACTTAAAAAAAAATGTTAAAAACATTAACAAAATCGATTTAATAAATAAAAATGCTTTTTTTGAAATATTGTGGTATTTTATTATTTTAAATAATACATGTAAATATACTTAGCAATATCATTATATACTTTATCCATAACACCAAGTCAGTCTTTGCTTGCCTAGTCAAAGTATTGGTAAAATATTATACAAAAAATCGTATAGTTAAGTAATAATTATTATTTACATAAAAATTTGCAAAGTCACATGGAATTTTGGAATAACTTACAATTTACAATATCATCAATACAAGGCACCATATCGTAGGATCTTTGCCAAAATGGTAACTAATACAAACCAAATGAGAAATGGCACCGAATAATTTTAATAATTAAACTAATAGACAATTTCATATATATTTTACGTCAATCGTTGTCGCATACATATTTACGAGGAATATTTTAATCGCTAAGAAATAATTATGATGAACATTTGGCATCCTATTCACATTCTTATACCACACTAAATGCGTTAACGACAATATTAACACGTGAGTATATGTATAATGATTATATTGAATAATATTTATCATATCACTCAAATATTGTTCAGGGATTTACATTAAGCACAGCACAACTTTGACTGAAAACAACATTCAATCGTTAATAAAAAAAAAATAATACTTAAACGAGCACTATACACAGTGAAGTTCTTTGCACACTAGAATCCAGTATCCTAAATGATATTCTCGAAATGTTAGTAAACCAGAACTTATTCTATTTCCAGGGCTGTATTACATATGCCCTTGGGCACACAATTTGGAACGTCTTTAGGAAGATAAAAAAATACAAATTTCTTCATGAATTTCACAAACAATTGAGCTTTTCGATAATGTCGACTTTCTAAGGTTTACATCAAACAGGATCCTGGGCAGATATCCCATGTACCATATGTGTGCCCTTATGGAAAGTCAGAATCACAAGAGCAGGTGAATCTGCCTTATAGTCAGTGTTTACAGCCCATTGTTCAGGTATGGTGATTTCGTCTGTGAGGCAGAGGCTTCCTCTGTGATGCCGCGTGTAAGGAAGCGGGCACCGTCCACAGTTGGTCACACCATCGCATCAGGGCTTCCGTCACGTGGCAACTGTTGGCCGCAGTAGCGAGCTGCGTCTCCAGACTGTCTGACGATTTGATCAACAAGCTGAAATGTAAAAAAGTTTTTATTAATATCATAATAAGGTTTACATTATTTCACTAATTTGCAGTGGTAACAGATCTGTTACATAGCTCAAAGAACAGACAACCAATGGGGAAAAAGATTTTAAAGTGGCGATGTCTGCGACTTCAAATGTGTTGCAAAGTATCAATAGATGCAAGTAGTTCAGGTCTGTGGGATGGCAATGAATGAATTTCGTTTAAGGGTACAACCCTTGAAATCTTTATGAAAATTTAAAAAACGACGTCCCCTTCGCTTCTAATTGCTGTGCCCGACAGGATCTACAATATACTTGATTAATTATTAACATCTTTCAAAATAATATTGTAGAATGCAATAAATAAATTGAATTTAATTGAACCCAGAACACTTAGACCGAAAACAATTCAGGAAACTTCACTTTCTAAATTGGTCCGACTGAATCCAAAACCTCGGTGATGGAAAGCAACCTGCACTATAAAGGTGATGATATGCTCAGTGCAAACTTACTTAGGCGGGAAGAGCGCAGGTGCAATGATCATGGCGACGTTGTGCTCACTCATCTTGTTGGTGTCAGCCCTCGCAACGATCTCTCGCACCAGACGCAGAAGCTCGCGTAGCGTGGCGCGCTGCTCTGCTGGTAGCAACAATACTAGGAGGTTCAACGCTCGACCTTGCGTCGTGCCTGCCAACGCTGTGAACGAACTCAAATATTAAGTATGGTTGAGAGTTACCATGGTGCAGAGTGACAGAGTAAGACAAAATAATGTAAGAAGCGTTGAATAGAATGCACAATACGCCAATGCTGAGAAGGGAAACTTCAAATAAAACCTAATTTATAAACTACTTGGCTATCGTGATAATCTAATCCTCAAAGTAAATCAGACATCTTCATAGATAATAGATGCAGGCTTAATCACTAGGTTAAGTACTAAATGCTTAAACAAACTAACTTTAGCAATTTCTAGCTTTTTATGCAGCAATATAAATGATGAGCAAACGCAGTGAGGACGACCCTCCACTAGATGTAGTGACGACCTCAAATGCATTGCAGGGAGCCAGTAGATGCAGATGACTCTGGGCGCGTCCTTATGACAGTCTATGGGAAAGGCCTTTGTTCAGAAGAAGACAGATAATGGCTGAGATGATGCAACTTTGGCACACCAAGTATTTCTCATAAATTGCTATTCCTGACGACACAATGCCTCCGTATCTTAGAATGTACTGTAATTGTACTTTAGACATGGAAACACAGCTGCCTAGCTGACGACTTTTGACCAAAATTTTCCTCGGATAAATTAAATATGGATTAAACAATTAGCGACTAACCATATGTGTGGTAGAACAACCGCATGAGCTCTTGAGTGAGTGGTGGCTGCGGCAGCGCTCGGAGGAGTCGCTTGAAGACAGCCGCCAGGTCGTGGCTGCTTGCCCTCGCTAGCGCTGCTTCCACACTCGCGCGGTCCGAATACCATTGCCGCTCGATCAGCTGACACAGCGCTTCGATCTGTAACGATAGTGTAGATTTGTAATACATTGCATTATGGATATACATAACAGTCAAATTGCCTAACATATTTGAATGGGGGAAAGGGATTGTTAGTAATGCGCACTACCAGTCTTATTGCTAACAATATACCTTATTAGGTCGACCTTCTCGTGGTCTCTCTGAAAACCAGTGCTGAATTCCAAGTGTATTCATCACGATAGGCTAACTGACCTGCTTTTTCATTCTCACCTATCATCCCTCACTGATGCCCCGCCAGCGTATACCGTTAGCAAAGACAGGGATAAGATTCCATTATTATCAGTTACAATCGTCCATTACAAATAACTAGGATGGTTTCCAGGGGAACCGCAAGGAGGTCAAACTGGTATAGTATGTTACTGACAATAGGATTCTTAGGCCACATTACTGGGGCATCACATTATTGGGGTAAACCCCAATAATTATTCGATAATAATCGAAGGTGAGTAGTATGTACTGTACCTTGTGCTTGTTGCCGGGCACGCGCAGCAGACCCTCGTGTGCAGCACGAGCACGCAGCGCGGCGGCAAGCGCGCGCACGATACTGGGCACGCAACTCCACGTCTCCTCCCACAGAATCATATCTTTGCGCACCAGCGTCTCCAGCGACACGCCGAACACAGAACCCTCTGTTGGCCGGAATACAACCATTACACATGTCTCTTAGTTCAATACTTAATCCGAGAGGAATCCGTACTCCAAGAACATTACTAGCTACAACTTTTTATATTAGCAGACGATTATCACAGATTATTAAGTAGGCCAGCAGCTTATTTACCATCTCAAATCCCTTAAAAAAAGGTAGGTATATTAGAATAATGTATAATAAACTTTTAAGTATATGACGACATTGAATATGTTCCTTTGTATCCACAAAATGCGCAGAAAATATTGTAAGCAGTAACTAAATAGATTTGGAGGTACATTTGGGAAATGTACCTAAGGAGTAGTCACCTATTCCTTTTTCTCCATTGTCAAAAAATCCAAATAGTTTGCAATATTTAGAATGGATACTCGGGCACAAGGTGGTAACATTTTGCATCCTGACCTTCAGCGCCAAAGACAATAGAAGACATAGCAATGTCCTGCTCTAGTCCAGTTATGATATATGAATAACAAATTCCTGAATCCAAATAATAAAACTGTAGAAGTTTAAAACGGCGTACGTACCTTCTTTTCTTTTCTTCTTGGGCGGCTTTCGCTTTTGGAAGGGCAACGAATACCGGTCGAAAAGGGCAGTCAGTTCGAGCCACAGCAGCGGCGGCAGTCGTTTCAACTGTGGCTCACTGACGCTCTCGATGTCCACGCAGCTGTCCTCTTCTGGCCACTCCTGATTAAAGGTAAAAGGCATACTAAAGTTGCCGAACAATCTTATCTTATTCTCAAACGATATTCCTAAGTATAGTCAGACATCTTCAGAAGACATTTTCAGAAATACAACATTTGATCAGATCAGCAGAGTAATTCCAATTTCATAGGGCAACATGAATATTTAATTTAATTCTTTCTCCCAAAAACATTTCACTTAAATTCATAAAAAAAAAATCATAATTATATTTTTTTTAAGGAACTCCTTAACAGATTTAAAAACGTTGATTACACGTTCGGCGTGTATCTTACACGTATGTTTTATGGACCAATTTGCACAATTCTTTTTTTTTTATTTAAAGAGTAGATTTAAAGAGTACTGTACCATAGTAAAAAAAAATAAAAGATATTAAAGTCTTTAATAAACTTACCTCTTCATTATCGAGCATCTGTTTGTCGAGATTGAATTTGTGCTCGAAACTGAGCGGCTGTGTGGACGCGACGCTCTTTGTCCGCGAAACAACTGTGTGTTTACTTCTGTAACGCAAAATATTATATTTGGTTACAGTGTCTGTTTTTACAACCAGTCGGATATTAAAATTAAACAAAGTAATTGAACAGTATAGACGATAAGTATAAGACACGAAAGGAAGTTCAAACTTAAACTTGACTATGTGACCCATAATTTTACATGACTTTATATAGAAATCTCAGAAATACTTTCTGCCATGAAGTAGATTTGCATTAATTATGTTTCAGTTTTAAATATATGTTCATCATCATCATCATCATGTGAGTCGTTAACTGTCCACTGCTGAACATAGGCCTCCCCCTTAGAAAGTTTTGCCAGTAGTTTCCACAGTTGGCAAGCGGATTGGCAACCGCAGTTAGGCTTTGGTGATATTTTAAGAGAAGTACTACTGCCCGTCCCTCGGCCATTAAATTCTGACTCGGGTGGGTCACTCTATGCCGGGACCACACAGGAAAGATTTAATACGACAATAAAATTAGGATACGAAACCATAATACCATAGTCTTTAGAATGGCAACGCAAGAGGAAGTAGCGTAGGTATCACAGAGATTCATGTCTGAGGCTACGGTAAACGTTTTCCATAAGGTGGACCGTCAGCTTGTTTGCCAATGTAAGTTCATAAAGGAAATATTTTCCGCCAACTTCCATACAAAATTCTTAGGAGATAGTTACCAAAAATCCTTTCGTAGTGCACTTCTATATTATATAAAGCACTCCTGCAAGATACTCTTGTCTTTTGTCTACTTACATAAATGGGTCGTTGTCTTTCAGTATGGAGCCGTTGATTCTTTCCTTTCCTATTCTTGGTCCCTGGACTGTTCCGTACCTCTGGTAGCCTAGCAATTCGATGCCCTCTGCAAAATCACAATAAAATATTTAGATGTAACGTTCACAAAGAACACAAATATCACTAACAGCTTAGATCTAAAGAATGGCGATGTAGAAGGGAAAATTTCTCGTCAATCTCACCTCAAATACTATTCGTTCATTTCTAAATTATAGCTACACAGAACAGGCAATAAAATAATTGTTGAACATAATCACACAAATTGAAAACTCAGATGCTTCATGTTTTGTGCAACCATATAACTGGCACAAATCAGAAAGAACACCTAAACCCAAGCCAATTTGGAAATGTTTTCTTAAATCAACAATTGAATGCACTGCTACAAGGAATCTAACAAATTAAAAGTTACACTCATATTTCTGCCGTGAGGTAGCTATGTTTACATGGCTTCGATGGTCATTGTCAATTTGAAAGGTAAATCATCATCATCATCATCGGAATCATCATATCAGCCTTTAACTGTCCATTACTAAACATAAGCTTCCGCCTTGAGGAGTTTTGCCAGTAGTTGCCACGCACAGGTTGGCAACCGCAGTTAGGCTTTAGAGTTGTTTTAAGAGGACGCTGCTCCCGCGCCCTCTTAAATCATTAATAAAACATAAATACAAATAAAAGGACGGAGCGGCCAATTCTATGCCGGTATCACAGGGCCAATACGGAAAATAAACAACGGAAAGGTGAGTAATGACAATGAACTTACAGGGCACGGAAGCATAACACCATAGTTCTAAGAAATAACAACGTAAAAAGGGTACTTCATGTCTATAGACCGGTTATCAATTGCCATCAATGAAGGATTGTTAGCTTCTTGCCATTCTAAGTTGCACAATAAAATGGCAACACCGGAGCACTTACCAGTATTACTCGCGATATCAGCCAGGTGCAGATCATTGGGCTTAAAAAGCTCGTGCATGGGCAGGGGCGGGGAGTGTGATGCGGGCGCGGGCGGCGACAGGCGCGCGCGGCGCGGCGCTGCCGGCGCCGACGGTGTACGCGCTAGCGGCGCGTGCGCACCCACCGGGGGGAAACTATCACTACAAATGATTGAACGAATGAATTTTATTGCTAAAAATGTGGTACAATAAGGTCGTATGGCAGTATTACAATGGTTTCACACATTTTGTCATTACTAACGTGCAACAATCATTACAATAGATTCAAATAAAAACGCCGTTAATAATTTAATTTAAAAATATTACAATTTTGGCATTTATTAATATTGATCGATTTTTCCTTTTAAAAATAAATAAAATTTTATTTATTTCAAAGGGTCAATAAACTCAATGTTATGTAGATATTTAAGTACATAAAATGTAGTTTGATATAATGTTGCACAAAAATGTATAGGTACGTGCCTACTACATCAGTATTAAATATGATACATTCTTCTTATCATTTCCTTCCTGTTTTACATAAAACAGGACAGACACAGTGTGTATTTGTTATACGAATAGATACCTACCTACATGTATTACATAAATGGATGAAAAAAATAACAAAACCTCATTGTTATTTGTTTAATAGGTGGAGACTAGAGAATTAATCTGTGAAAGTCCATTTTTTGTCGTATCCTCAATTTTGGACATTTCTGACTATTATTTATAAAAGTTATTATTTAAATCTATTAGAAATTTAGTTTATATCAGTTTTTCTTTGAATAAAGATTTCACTGTGTTATCAAATTGAAATTTTAATTTAAAAGATGAATTTTCGTGTAAATGTAAAGTATCTATTGATTTTATTAATCTATAACGTGTGTTTTTTACTTCTTGCTAAAATATTTGTTAAGATTTTTACCATATACGGATATTTTAGGCCTAATCTAAATAATGAGGGAGGAAAGAGATGGTTAATTATGGGGTCTTACAACCCCATTGCTAACTATATTCTCTATCAAATCGACCTCCATGCACTTCCTCCTGGAAACCGTCATGATTAATTCTTGTTAAGTTTATCACGATGGACCAAGTGACCTGTTTTCATGCTCATCTATCATCCCTCACTGGTGGTACGCCAGCCTATACCAATATCGCAGGCAAGGTTACCATTGCATTATCATTCATTAAAAAAAAAACTAAATAATAAAGGTGTACTAACACGAAGTCAGGCGGCGTAGCTCCATCAGCCCACTCGGCGGGCGGGCTGCCTGATCCACCGCTGGGCAGCGAGTCCAGCGAGTCGGGAGTCGCGCTGCGCGACCTCGGCTCACTGCCGCTTGAATTCTGAAACAATATGATAGAATTCAGCACCATCAAATTTATTATATTAACGACCCCCATGGTGCAGTAGTGTAGACGTTGATATACGTAAATAGGCCCAAAGTCCCGTATTCGATTCCTGGTCGGGTCTGAGTGTTCTGAGTTATGTTCCTAGGTGGCCGTTGTCTAAATCAATAACCAATCAGGTCGACCTCCACGTGGTGAGATTCCTTTCCTGTGGGTGTCGTAAGAGGCGACAGAAGGAATTTAATAGTCGAGGAATGGGCAGCAGTGTCTGTCTTAAAACATCTCTAAAAGCCTAACTGCGACTGCCAACTGCCTGCCAAGCGTGGTAAGTACTGGCAAAACTCCACTTATGGGGAAGGCTTATGTTCAATATGGCAGTAGACAGTTAATGGTTAAAATGAAATGAAATATTACTTTAGAATACAGCAGTGTTGAGTTTAGAGTCTGCTTACTAATGGCTAGTCTTCTAACGAACTACCTAACTAACACTTCGCGTCGAGGGGAAAGGGATTGTTAGCAATGGAGTTTGACAGCCCCATTGCTAGCAATATGCCCTATTAGGTCGACCTCCACTTGGTTCCCCCTGGAAACCATCGTGAACAATTCTTGTTGAATTCGTCACGATGGGCTAACTGACCTACTTCATCCTCACCTATCATCCTTCACTGGTGCCCTGTCAGTGTATACCGATAGCGCAGGCGAGGTTACCATTCCATTACCATCCATTAAAAAAAAAACACTTCGCGTCATAGTGAATTAATAGTGACATCATTTCTATATGTACCCAAGCAGTTATAGTTTCTGAGCTAAGTATTACCACAGTATAAGTTACAGTACGTATTACTATCTCGCTAATTTTCGTGTAAACCCATTCAGATAAGAAAACGTAACCAAATATTCATTTGTTTGTATTTCACTATCTAATATATAAAATTTTCGTGTCGCGGTGTTTGTTACCAAACTCCTCCGAACCGGCTTTACTGATTTTTATGAAATTTTGTGTGCATATCAGGTAGGTCTGAGAATCGGCCAACATCTATTTTTTATACCCCTCAATGGATAAGGGTGACCCACCCCTAAATATCTTTTTTTTTAATTTTTTTGTCAATTTTTTTTTTATTTTTATTTTATTATGTAGTACGATAAATATTTATGTATAGTTCTAGAAATAATGTATATGGTAAAACAACGTTTGGCGAGTCAGCTTGTAAGTATATATTAACCCTTTGCACTGCAGCCTAGTAACTCATTGAGGTTACCAATAACTCATTAACTTATAACCTATTATAATAAGTTATTGATAAGTTAATGATTAAACATATCATAAACACTATAAAATAAACACAGACGATTTTGCTTATCTAAGTATTAAAGGCGCCGTGTTAGTAAAACAACCGTGTCGTCGTAGCGGCGACAGTGGATTTAACGTTTTTTTTTTCCTAATGGACGATAATGGAATGGTAACCCCACCCGCGCTGTCGGTTTACACCGGCGGGGCACCAGTGAAGGATGATAGGTGAAGATGAATCAGGTCAGTTAGCCCATCGTGTCGCATTCAACAAGAATTGTTCACGATGGTTTCCAGGGGGAACCACGTGGAGGTCAACCTAATATAATATGCCCATATTGCTAGCAATGGGGCTGTCAAACTCCATTCCTTTCCCCCAGTAGATTTTATGTTAGCATTTCAACGTCGCAAATACGGCGACAACGGAATGCAAAGTGTTAATAAACAGATCCACCGAATAAATATTGATATCTTTATTGATCGCTCCAAACTATTACGTTAGAAAGATCATTGAAAAATTTATTGTGTTAATACTATTAAGAATCTATAGATTAAATAGAAGATGAAAAAGATTTTACTATTGATGTAATAATATCTATTAAATATGACTGTAAAGAATATAATGTCTTAATCAATAAATTATTCATTAAAAATTTTACTTTAAACATCGAAGGATAAGTTCTCAGCATCAGTTTTCCTATATAGCAACTGTTACATTAAAGAGACAGTTTTTCTCCTCCAGATAGAAAGCACGTGTCTGTAATTACTTGATAGCTCCGTGAGAAGCGACATCTGTCTCCGTAACCCGCCTATTAGTCTTTCACCATGAAAAATACACATAGAAATAAGCATGTGATTGTTCCGTTAATGAAAAGAGAAACTATTATTACGTATTGTCTCCACATTGTTACGCAATATAGAAAGCAGTTGGTAAATAAAAGCTATTTTTAAAATGCTATTGAAATGTAGATATTCCGGCTAATTATAAATCAATAATAAGCAATTTCCAAATGCTAATACCTGTTGAATCAGGGCGCTTACTCTACGTCAGTCATTTTATATGCTTTACTTATTATATAAGTGTTTATTTGAATTAACATTTATTTTATGTAAAAAGATCTCGTTAACTTCTTTCATGAGGTTTTAGAAATAAGAACCCTCAAGTAAAGTCATCAGGTAATATATATATATATATATATATATATATATATAAGATGCTGAATGGCTGACTGGTCGATCCATATAACAATGTACAGCTGGAACCGCTGAATTTTTAATTTAAAACTTTTGCAAACCTTACTGCTCTTACATACGTCTTTTAATCATTATTAGAGGCGTGAAGAGTAAATTCATGATCTTAGTATATTAATTTTAATTATATATTATAATTATATTATATAATATATTACTATTAATCATTTTTTACGAAAACTATAAATACTGGAAAAAAAAATGTGTACGTGCTGAGAATCGGTTCTTTCCTTTGGGGAATTATTTCTAAACCGGAGCCGGTACCGGATGGTCTTCCGGGGCGACTCCGCCTTCCACTAGCTAAGAAGTATGTAATTATGTATGTAGATGTAACTACGCATGTAATTACACACTGTGCAGTTCTCAAGCGCTAACGATTTGCAACATTTGAATAATCCTACACCAGTTAGTATATCTTTCAATTTAATAAAGATAAAGGTAAATTTATTTGCAAACATGTGTGCATAGTAAGTACAAAGACATACTGGTTATTCATTGAAGGATTTGTATTGATCTAACATATTTTGTTAGCAAAACATGTTGGCGTGCAAAATGTTCTTCCAAGGACAGTGGCAGTTTTAAGTGCCTTGCAAAATATTTAAAAATTCGTCTACAAAAAATTATAAAAAATTAATAACATTTGTCAATCAGTATTTTTTTTTTTTTGGTTTCTTCCTGAACAAGTTCGTATTTATGTTTTTATATATCTTATATGGAATTTTATTATAGATTTTTGGGGCCATACACATAATGCTTTTTTTCCAATAAAGTGGTTTTTACTGGACGTATACATAATAAATTTTTATTACGTCTAATCCGAATAATTTTATCATCATTATTATACCATTATATATCATTATTAGTTCATAAGGGTAATTTATAAAGATATGGTTTTAAAAATTATTATATAATTATTTATTAACATATATATAGATGGGGAAGAAAGGTCTGAGAAGATGTCACCAATTCTCAGGTTCAGAGAAATAATTTAACGTCAACTTTATTGCTTATTCTCCTATTATTTTACTGAAATAAACAAATAAAACAAAATATACATCTATAAATATAAAAATGAAACGCCAAAAGTGTTGCTAACCGCAAAACACGAAAACGACTGGACCAATTCGACAAATTTTTTTTTCTAAATATTCGTTGAAATTTGAGGAACATTTTTACAAAGAGAAAAATTGGAAATATAAATATATTATTTTTAGAAAACTCCATCTACCCGTGTGAAACCGGAACGAATGACTAGTATCAACTAAATTTAAACTATTTGAAATCTCACGTACCAAAGCGGAGCTCGTGTTTCCACATCTGAGCAAACAAAATTTAAAATATAATTTAATTTAAAATTTATTGATAAGTTTCAATTTAATATTTTTTTTAAACCTCACACAAAGGAAACACAATTAACAAGCCAAATAAATTCAATTGACGACAGTGGACTCGTCAACGCTATAACGCTGTATCTATCAATGACTGTAGTAACGTAACGGTGTATTATAAAACGAGATATGTCAGTTCATATCCCATAGACAACTGTTTTCCCAACGAATCCCGTAACAAAAAATATTCTATCCGGAAACAAACCGGTATCCCGTGCGTGGCGAGCCACTAGATCCAACGATCGGTCTAGTAGGTCGCATGATATCACGACTTTCTTAATTACTTGGTAATTAGTAACTTACTAATTGAAAACTGTTATTATAGACAGTTAGAAATATACTAATAAAAATAATAATTTATTATAGAAGTTATTCAATCTAAAGTAGACAAGTTTTTTTTTTTTTATAAAACAACTTCTTGGCCAAAGAAACGCGACAAAATATTTCGAGCCTTGCCTACTAATATAGCAGTAAATAAATGAATCGAAACGTCGGCAATAAAGAAGCAAGTGTGTAGGTACTATTTACCTGCAAAAGTTTTTACACAGCGTTAAGTCCCGATTGTGTATTTAACTTGTGTTTTGTTATTTAAAATTCGCTATAGCAAGTTCAGTTAACAAGTTAGTACCAAAAAAATTGTTTTTTTTTGTCAGATCCTAATTTTTTGGAATTCATCCAAACACTTTTGGAAAAATGTTATGAGCAAAATACTGTAGTATTTATTTATATTATATTTCTATGTATCATAACATCTTCATACTTCAATTATTGACACCAATACACGATCCGGACGACATAGGCTGGCGTAATGGAAAGAGTAGCCGCTTTCTATAGAAAGGTCGTGAGGTCATATCTTGTATAAAGACATGACTAGAACTGACTCGAGGGCTACATTCAATAAAGAATCCGATTTATAAAAATTTAAATTAAATACGACATGATTTCGAAATTAATTTATAAAAGTCATATAACAGATTTCAGACTTGCCTGGCTTATACGCAGGAATTCAGTATTGAAAAAAAAGAGATGCTGTTTTAGTCCAGTGACTATCAAAAGAAACTTACAAAGTT